CTCAAAAGAAAATTTTTGCGTTCGAAGAAGTATTGTCCGCGACATTGTGACGCGGCCATTTTCGGACTTATTTAGAAAAAGTTTCTTAAAATTTTTAGAACACATGTTTCTTAAAAAATTCAAAATGTAGATTGTAGGTCTTGAAGAGCTCTATCACCTCATGCAATTATTACATTTTTCCATACTTGTTTTCCCTCTGAAAAAGAGCGATGAAAAAGGGAGAGGGGTTTGTCCGCAACTTTTTGGCGGTCACTGTAGATCTCTTTCTGCTGATCTCTCCCCAGCGCTGTTAGGCATCTGAAGAAGTCCTGAGGGAGAACGCAGTAGGGAGAGTCCGGGAAATGGCAGAAGAGATGCTGTATACACAAAATCATCGGATTTAGAGGGTATTTGCTCAAAAATTCAAAGTTCAAGGGACTCACGACATAAGCACAGGTTGACAAACGCCGCGGCAGAAACGCTTTGCTGCATTAAACAGTAATGGGAGAGGGGGGGGGAGCAAGCATAAACGATGATGGTACTTGTATAAATGATTAGTTTTCCCTCTGAAAAAGAGCGATGAAAAAGGGAGAGGGGTTTGTCCGCAACTTTTTGGCGGTCACTGTATATAAAAGGATAAAGGATTTGGCGTCTTCAATACCCTCTGCGTAGGTGCCAAACGCACACTACTTCATAGTCGAAGAGGCAATTGTATGCGCGCGGGCTTATCACAGTGACTTGCGCGAGCCAGCCGATTATCAAGTCAGTGCTTTTTGTCCTCCCAGATTGCTCTGCTACCAATTTCCCGGCCCCGGAGGGTAGAAGGCTTGGTTGGCCCAGGGGAGGGATCGAACTTGGGTCCGATATGGTCATGGGGCGCCTCATACTACTATGCCTCTAGTCCCCGATCTATATACAAGTTCAAAATGGAACTTGAGATATTTGAAAAACTTTTAAGCAGTTTGCGGAAGCCATAGCAAGCTTCCCTTTCAGTTCGCAATTTTTTCCGGCTGTTTCCCAAGTATGCAAACCTATATGTAATCTATCGTAATACAGTTGTCGATTTTTTGCGTGCTTGGATTTCTAATTTCAAAACCAAAAATTCTTCTGTACATTTTCAATTCAAAAAACAAATTATAAAATCCACTAGAGTAGACTAAGAGCTTTCAAATGCATATGCACATTGTGGCAGCTCGGTGGGCTCTAAACACCTAGATCTAACCCGAATAACCAAGGCTCGCCCGCACTTGCGGCGCAACCTACCCTGCTAACTCGCCCTAGTGCGCGTCCAGACAAAGAATTAAGTACTAAGTTTTTATCTCTATATATTTTTATATATAAAAGATACAATAAAAAACCTACAAAAAACCTACAACTAGACAACAAAGAAAACTACCAAAATCAAGACTAAACTACTAAATAATGGTAAAGCTCAACACGGGATGAGCTGCCCCGTCCCATGCTACCGATGAGGCGCTTTTACTAAAAACTCTAATGGTAATGATGCTCCCGAGGCTTCACCTAGACAGATCCGCCACGCATCGCCGGATACCAGGCGCGACACCTCTTCGCTCCCAAGGTTGTAAGATTTTATTATCCCAAGGCCCAAAATACCCAAAGATGGCTCGTCTGAAATCAATCCCGAAACCGACTTGAATTCCAATTCACGATGGATTTCGATATGCTCAACCACACTCAAGAGTAACATCAAAAGTTGGAGCTAAATGCCAAGCACGAGCATACTGAACAAACATGAGAAAAGATTATCGATCGGAAAGGAAGCAGACAGATGCTGCAATAAGGCGCCGCCGCTATAAGCCGTTTTGCTGTCAAAGCGCCAAGGCAAGGAGAGGTCCGGAGGCGATTGAGTATACCATCGCCGGATAGCGCGGCAACAACCAGTGCTCCCGGCTTCCTACTTCTAGGAGCGCTCGTATCGCTGAGCCGCCGCACACAATTCAGCAAACAGCACAAGATATAAAGGAAAGTTTGGATCAAAAAATGGGACAGAACTTATTACGCAACCCAATAATTACTTGTACTCTAAATCGTAACGGGATAGCGGTTTATTGGTGTTGCAAACAAAAGAATTGAACCCAGTCATGTGTAAATCGCCGCGTAATTGAGTCATTCGTTGAGTGCTCGAGCAGGTGCAACTATTCGAATCAGGGTCCAGCACGAGGCATTTGAGAAATTCAAAAAAGAAATCCCCCTTGCATTATAGAAAGTTATGAGATACCCTTTGTAGTGTTTGTAGAATGACTACAAAAAGGTAGAGCTTGATCTAAAGAACAGATCCATGTAAAAACATCTGGAAATTTCTATGAAAAGCGGGAGAATAGTGAAGATTCGTAACTTTGACTGGTCCCGCGCAACCTTAGGGTTCTCCTGGGTCGCGTGGGAACAACCTTAAATTTTATTTTATTTTCTTATTTTATTTTAGTTTACACTCACGGTGCACCAAAGAACAAAAAATAAAACTCTAACACGTCGAACAATAACAACAATAACATGATATCAGCTTGTCCATGTCTTCAGTCAGATACACGGTGGACTTAGGTAATGTAATGTAATGTAAGGTAATGCACTAACCTAAGGCTCACAAGATATAGCGAAAACTGTTCCAAATGCCTGATGAGTGTAATGGCTTGAGAAACAAAGAATGATTGGAGAGTCTTGCATCCTCCAAATATAATCTGAAAATCCTTTTTGAGTGCCAGCGAGCTTACGGGCGGAAACTAGCTGACAGACCCCAGATGAATATACGTTTTGGAGGATAGCAAGACTCCAAATTGAAGTGCCAGTTAAGGCAAGGCTTGCCAGTAAGGCATAGAAGTAAGGCATAAGTGGAAGCAACCTGGGCACTTAGGTATGATTGTAATAGGAAGACATTAGGTAGAATTATGTATCCTGACATACAAGGCAAGCTAGTATGATCATTAGTGAAGTTAAATTGGAAAACCTTACCATCTATTCTATGATTAGGAGACGTGAGACCGGGAGTTTGTTCCTCCCTGTTTTCAAAAAGTGAATCAACCTGGACGAGATGAATAACAAGAATAAACCTGCTAAGTACACGATTAGGCATGTTTAGACAATGTGTGCAATGCGGTATCGCGTCTCCTAATAAAAAAAAATGATACAAGTCCTTTCGTTTTCACATAATTCTTCCATAAATATCTGTAGTTTTCATCTGATCATCGCCGTGGATGTGCGCAATAATTCGATGGTTCAGTGTTGCTTTCACTGTAAAAAAAACCGATTTTTTATAGTTTTGTGCATAAAGATTGTGTTTTGACACGTTGAACGTGGCACAAGGTTTGTCAACTATTTGTTCCATCGTGTTAATGACCTGTTACTGGTGAAATTATGTTAGAATTTCAAATTCGGGTTTGTAAGAGTTAGAATTGTGCCTTATAATACCATCGATATCAACGCGCATTGGTCTTCTCCGCGCCGCACTGCTCTAGTGCGCACGCTTTGCGTCGCCCATGCACGACGTGGCGGGCGTCCATTCCTGGCGCTTTGCCAGCCGTAATCAGCTGATTTTCAGCCCTCCATATCATTCATGGCTATTTCTTCATTATTTTTACTTCTTTTTTTTCAGGGTTTCCGCTGCAAAGGTGACGGGCCGGCCCTAATCAGGCAGATGTTATGGCGTTTTTGCAATAACACCCAGAAGACTGAATATTCCTTTACCCAGTGTTTTGCTGCGGCTCATTCTGCCTGTTCTTCTAGGCCTTTTTCTTTACCAAGCGCCACCAGCTGATTTCATTTGGTTGCAGGTAAAATTTATCGTTACTGTGTCAAAACAAAACAAGTTTGCCGCTCATTGGCAATGCTCGTGTACACCAAAGTGACTTTCCTAACCATAGTTCATCTAATGACTTGAGAGTTTTTTAGCTCTTTTTGGCTTCTAACTGACAAAATCGTTTTCGAAACCGCGACAGCAGAAAAAAACTGGTCTATGGCAAAAAAACTAATGAAATTTAGAAAACAATAACAGAGAACACTAGGTAAAGGAATATTCAGTCTCCTTGGTGTTATTGCGAAAACGCCATAATATCTGCCTGATTAGGGCCGGCCCATCACCTTTGCAGCGGATACCCTGAAAAAAGAAGTAAAAATAATGAAGAAATAGCCATGAATGATATGGAGGGCTGAAAATCAGCTGATGACGGCTGGCAAAGCGCCAGGAGTGGACGCCCGCCACGTCGTGCATGGGCGACGCAAAGCGTGCGCACTAGAGCAGTGCGGCGCGGAGAAGACCAATGCGCGTTGATATCGATGGTACTTCGTCAGTTTCCAGGTGGAAACTTTACGGGTACTTCTTTGCTTTTCCTTTTTAGAAGATAACATCCAGCTTGTAAAAGCGCCCATTCTGCTGAGCACTGAATCGAGTATCTGATTAATCGAATGGTCATTGTACAATTATTTGTTAATATTATATGAACAGTCGAATTCGATCATACCTAATCATCTCTATTCGAATATTTGATTTTGAAATGTAACAGTATTCGAATATACAAATTCCAATAAGTCAAAAATGGCATATTGAATAATACTTAACCATTCGAATATTTTTCAGAAGTTAATTCTTCGATATTTTTCGTTCGATGAAATTTTTCGTTGTTACGCTATACAACCCAAATAATAACAAGTGATAACAGAATAGGTAAAGATGAAAAGTTGCACTTGTTGCCAACCTAGTGAAATAAGACATTATGAAACACAACTGGACTGTGCTTCTTTTGTTATTATCTGTGAAAGTCTCACAGTTAGATAAGTGTATAAGGATAAGCTTATAGAAAGTCTGTTGTGCTGGCTTAATTCTGAATAAAACACAGACAAAACATCGTTTTGGTTACGATCCAGTGAAAGTATGACAACACACATCTCTCCGGGTATTTCAATGTGAAATGACAAATTACGGCTGATGAAGTAACGTTGTCTAGAAGAATTCAACAATTCCCTTCTATCGAGATTCTACGATATAAGCGTAGACAAAAGGCTAATTTTAGGTTGCAACGTGTTCTTAAAATGTGAGCACCTGCAAAAAACAGGCAGTTTCAAAGCGCGAGGTGCGTTGAATGCTGTTCAAAAGCTCAAAGACACAATGCAAGTAAATGGAGTGGTAAGGCCTTTTACCGTTTCGCTATGATTCATGTTTTGAATTTCCTCTTAAGGTCACCCATTCTTCTGGTAACCATGGTCAAGGTCTAGCTTGGGCTGCTGCCCAGACATGTCTGCCGTGTCGAGTGGCAGTGCCGAAGAATGCGCCACCGTCAAAAATGGAAGCAATGAAAGAATATGGAGCAGTTTTAGAATTATGCGAATCGACAGTGAAGAGCAGGTCAGATTTATTTTATGTCTAGAATGATACGCCGATCTTTATCCGAAAATTTCATTGTTTGGTTTCCGTGAATCCTCACAATTTTCATAAAAATTCACAGAAATTCACTTGGTTTCAATTACGCATTTTGCTCCCGTACCATCGTAATCAAGGAGCTGCAAAGGAAGCAGATCGTGTCTATGTTCTCCATATGAGTTGTACACAAAAAGTTCTCATCTAATTACTGTTTGCAAATCTGTCGTCTTATCAGCTGCTCAAGCTTCATGTTTTGAAACTCAGGCATCCTGACATCCCGTCGTGTATTTCCGCTTTCTCAGAAGCGACGTTCTCCTTAAGACTTCTCCTTGATATGTCTTCGCATAAATTTTCATATTTTCGATGAATATCGGAGCCATCTTCTCGGTGGCACTTATTCCTGCTCAAACCATCACTTTCACTATAACTTGCTCCTAGTTTCGAGCTTCTTTAGGAAGGGCCTAATAACTGTCGTCATTCTGAGGGTTGTGCGGAATTTCGATGATGAAGTTTGTCTAAAAACAACACATCCTTTGGCGGCACGCTCCAAAGGCAGTGACTCGGCAAATCCTCGACTCAAAGTTTTTTCGCTTACCTGGGGTAATTCGATGTGCAAAATTCGAAAATCCACCTTGAAGCGCGCAGAAATGGCGAAAACCAGCAATTTTCAAGGTTCCCGCTATGGTTAGAGACGCAGAGTCGTTGCGGGAGCATCGCAGCATGACGTGCCCTCAGACGTGCTCAGTTCTCATGTTTGGGGTGCAAGCAACCTTTCATATCAAAATTTCGAGATGTTCGATTTTGCCGAGCCACTGCCTTTGAATACCTGTAACATTATCAAGTTCTTCATTTTGGCATTGAATGGTACATACTGCTTGCTGTAAAAGCGGTAACTACAAAATCCGAAAATGATTTGACATGTTATGTATACTCGAACGAGAATCTGAATAATCCTAACTAAGAGCTCACCTCAATGTCATCTTTATGGGTTTTTATATATTGGATATTGGGTATTTTCCTTTTGAGAATTGCTGAGCTTTGCTGTTGATAGAGACGCCCAAAGACTTCTTCGGTCGACGTTTTTCATTGATTTCCATCGATTAATGATTCTCTATATCATTTGAAACTTTCCCTTCATCGCCGCCACGCGAATAATAAATGAAGAGCACAGGTCGCGCTTTGCGATGCAAATGCTATTCAACGTATGGAGGCCGGAAGCACTGGTTGTTCCACGTTGTCCTGCAGCAGTACGATAGCTAGGTAGCGCGCAGCAGCAATCGCCTTCGGACCTCTTCTCGCTGCACTAACAGAACGGCTTTATAAGGCGGCGGCTCCTCACTTGCCCGCCTGCTCACTTTCGTCTTTATTGATGACTAGTGAACCAATAATCTAAAGGTAATTTGGAAGAGCGTTCGTTTCGGGATCCGCCGCGGTTTCCCGCTGTTGGAAGATTTTTGCATTGAGCTAAAGATTCTTTATTTACTGATTATTATTATATTTACTGTCCGTCCACGATCTCGATATTGCATTGTCGTGCCTTGAGCTCCCGTATTGGATGTGTCTTCTGAACCAAGCGGTCAAAGTGTTTGTAACGTTGGAATTTGGATACTTCAAGCGTTGCTAAGTTTACTACTATTCTCAGGTCATGGCGAAAAATCACTCAAAAAGGGCGCCACTATTTTCAGCCACCATGTATGAAATTAGGGGCGCTGATAGTTGTCACAAAAATCTGCGCACTTTTCTCGTTTACTATAATGACACGTTAAATCGTTCCTAGGGATTGAAGGCAGAAAAACGTAGTTTATAAGTAAGAAATTGAGCGCTTGTAACCTCCATTCAGGTTTTTTAAATCAAGTCTTGCTTCACGTGATCAGATACACTTGACTCTATAAAAGGTCCCTATGATAGAGGAAAGCGATTTCTTATTCATTTGCGAGATAAAAGAAAGCTTTCCGTATCTTTGTAGGTTGACCAATTCAAAAATTAGCTGTTTGCTCTGTACGTGAAGCATCTGCTCTGTTTCGGCCCTTCAACGGCCGCATGCATTAACATCTCCCGCTGGGGAGAGAAACAAAACTTAAAAAAGCTTCATATTCTGAAGCCACAGACATCTGGATTTCCACTCACATAAGTTTTTCATATAATTTCTTATTTTGTTCTTTTTCACTACTACGCGCATATCAATGTGGAGCTATATTGTTATAGCGACCCTACGGGTCGCTAGCAAGTGGGTTGGGGCAGATACATTCGAAGCTGCAGCATTCTTGCGACTATGAGTTACAACAAACGGGTCTATCAATTTGACGATTTTTTTTCACCTAATATGATAAAACAGGAGTTCGAGACTGTTGCCACAATAGCGTACTTTTAACGAAACAGGCATTAAGCAATGAGTGGATAGCTATAATTCAACCTTTGTTGTTCTTACTGCAAAAGCATCTTAGCAAGAGCTGGATCCATTTTTTCATATTTGAAATCACCACCAATCATCTATTATATTATGTAGCACATCTGATCCGAGCCGAAACACAGCTCATATTCTAATGGTGTGCCTCTCAGCCGGAAAAGGGCTAAGCATGATATTCGACTAAAGCTTGCACTTCGCTTTTTCTGTAGCTACAGACTTATCGTCAAAATGTAAACATTCAGGAACTAATTTTACGTATTTCGTGTGTTCTTTGTTCGTAAAATCTGGCATTTCTTTCTTGACAAACCTGCGTGGCATGAAAAAATTCAAGTCAATCTCACATTCTGAAGACTGCCGCTAAAATATTCTCTATAACAGTATCCCGCCTCAGTCATCATTAAGCAGTCATTTAACCAAAATCTGCTCACTGCTGGGTGTGAAATTGGGATTACTTAATGTGGTACTCCTCAGAGACGAGGCTTTTCGGAAATTCATAGCCAAATGTCCTGCGAGATCAACGTTTACAATTTGCAGCTTTGGAAGGTTAAATAGAATTACTTCAGACTATTTGAAAAACTCATGAAAGGCTGCAATAAATATTTCGTTGAAAGTGCATTGTAATAGAAATTGTCAGGTCTTTTTCAACAAGAAAAAGAATTGCACATTTGATCGGGGAGCAGGACAGTGTTTTCCTAAAGTTCCAGTGACTGTCAGGAATCAAAGGTTTGAACTCAGAGACCTTCTAGCGCGAAACTCTCTTCCCTAGAATTACATACAGTGCAAAGAATTTCCCTTTTCATCGCAATGCTTTCTGCCAAAGTGACGCACCCCCCCCCCCTCCCCCTCCCCAAATTCCAGGAAATGCATAAGATTTCCTTCTTTGAGGGATCTCTCTAGAAGTGAGGAGGAAGCCTGTAAACACCTCGCTTCCCCTTTCAGAAGCACCGCCATTTCTGCCACATCCTGAAATTCTTTGCAGTGAATCCGATGCCTTTGACATTCCCAGGTTTCCCTCCAGAGACCTCAGTATCCTACCAGAAGTACGAGTATAATTTTACATCCTCAAAAGTCCATGCAAAAAAACCGCTACAGAGTGAAGCGGAACCCTTGGACACCCCTTTTCTAACATAACTATACGGATTTTATTCAAAATTAAAAACTCTGCACAGTGAATCTTCTAGGTCAAATGATGCGGACCCTCCCTCTCACCCTCCTTTCTTGGATTCCATGCAAAGAGGATTTCTTAAAGCTTCTCTTTAGATGTGACGCCAAACGCTTCAGACCCCACCCCCTCAGTTTTCTTCTCAGCCGCCATTTGTCTCACAGTCACTATAGTAATTGAATTTCTTTATTCCAATGCTATCTGAGGCAAGAAAACAAAGCCCCTCAGATACCCTCCAGTTCTCTTACCAAGCAAGAATTACTTCCAAAGTTCATACAGTGTGTCAAAACGCTTTTTACACTTGAAGGCCCCCTACCAGATGTGTATCAAACTTCTGCTGTAAAACTCTACATGTGCAAAGAGTTCCACCTTTACTTCAAGATTTCTCGCTGGAAGTAAAGCGGTCTACACCCTGCAATTCCATGTAGTGCGAAGATCCTCAAATTCTGGAGCTTCGCTCTAGTGACGCCGAAAAACTTAGACACTCCTTGGTTTTCCCTTTCAAACGTGTCTCCTTTTCTTCCACATCCTAAAGATGTTGCGGTACACCCAGTGTCATCAACGCTTCGAGAATTCCCTCCAGAGGAGACGCGAGATTTCAAGTACCTCAATCTCCCACCAGAAGTACAGGCATCTCTTACCAATCTTTGAAAACCTTTGCATCTCCAGAAGTGACGGAATCCGTCAAGACACGCCTTAGTTCTCCCATTACAAGTAGAGGTATTTCACGAATCTCCGTTTGTTTATGTAGTAACGAATATCTTCAACACTCATAGGCCCTGGGGTTAAGAGCGCCTTGGTCACCCTTCAGATCCTCTGGCGAAAGGATCCTTACTTTTGCGAATCGAAATTCCTACAGGGACTGTACATTCCCGAAAAATCCACAGTGAACCCACAGTAACGAATGTCATCAACACTTTAAGGCCTCCATGCCAGAAGTGACGCATAAGTTCTTAGTCATCTTCAAAGCTCTCCTTGCAGATAAACTGCAATTTAGTCACAACCATTTTCCATACAACAGAACAAGCGAATATGCTTCCACTTCGGCTTCGCTTTAAAAGTGATGAAACCCGCATACAGTTTTCGCCTCCCAAAAATCTAGTAAGAGCCGTTATTCCTTTCAACAAAAATCCAAAATAATAGATTGGTGCAAAAATAATGTCCGTTTAAGCCTAGTTTCCGAAAAATTTTTTCCTTCAAAATTTCTTTTTTGGTATAAATTTCGCACAACATTGGGAAGCTTTCTTCATGTACTTTCCAACAGTGATGAGATTTACTTCTATCTCATTTGTGAGAATTTCACCAGCATCTCGCACAACTGCACTTACTCGAAATTTCATTGCTTAAACTTCCTTGGCCATAATTCATTCGTAAACGAACGAATTCCTTTGAAAACATTGCATCTGTAGGGAATAA